CTCAGATTTTCATTTCTTTAGTGTCAAATACTTCTTTGTAGTACTTATGTCTACTATTCACTGTGCAGTTATTTTTATGAAGAGAACAGCATGAGGGGAAGCTGCTTGCAAAAAGTAATACTACTGGCCAACTGCTCACCAGCCACTGCTCCGAGTATCATCTCACTGACCCTGTACAAAAACTTGTGGGGTAGAAGCTGTTTGTTATTACCCCCCCTTACAGATGGGGAAAGTAGGGGACAGAGAAAGGACGCCACATTCGGGACCATCAGTGCTGTTCCTTCACATGGTAGTGAGCTTGGGTCTTCTCACTGGGAGGCCTAACTTGTTGTGTCCTGGGCACTGACTCCAGCCACCACTTCTGAGCAGCTCTGTAGTCACTGAGCCTCAGTCAGGGTGAGCTGTGACCCTGGTTGGAAAGCACAGGTCTTTATCTCGTTCTGGTGTGATAACCTCCCTGGGGAGATGCTGGGCCTAGATCATACCAGTTTTTATTTCTTCCTCCTAACCTGGTTCAAAAAAAAAACTATGGCTAAGTCTAGGACTTCATTTAGTTAGTGTTATGGTTAGAGGTTGGGCTAGGGCTTGGTCTAGTTTTTAGGGTTACAGTTAGATATCAAGAAAAAAAAAAAGTAAAATAAACCTATTTGATTTCTTCATTTGGAAGTTCTGTAACTATATTATCCCCTCTTTTTAGTTTGCCTTTTTCTGTTGCTGCTGCTACTGTATCTTTAGTTCTCTATTTTCAGCCTTACTGGTATTTTTTATTTCTATATCTGGATTAAGGTGATGCTGTCATGTAGTATGTTAGTCTCAGGTTGTTACTGGTTCTCTGTCCAAAAACTTGTTTTAGTACTTTTTTTGTAAGGCTGGCCTGGTTTTTACAAATTATTTTAATTTCTGTTTATCTGAAAATGACCTAATTTTACCATTATATTTGCTGGATATATGAATTATGGTTGGCAGTTTTTTTTCTTTTAGAGATATATATATGTCATTCCATTGTCTTGCCTGTATGGTTTCTGCTGAGACATTAGTTAAGTCTTACTAGTTCTCCTTTGTGACTTCTCATTTTTCCTGAGCGGCATTCAGGATTATTTCCTTGTCTTTGGTTTTGAAAAGTTTGATTTATTATGTCTTGGTGTTTTTCTTTTGGGGTCTATCCTGTTTGAAGTTAGTTAACTTCTTGAATGACTACTCATCTTCCATGATGTTAGGGAAGTTTTCTTCCAACATCTCGTGGACAATATTCTCTGTGGTTTTTGTTTTGTCTCATCCTGTTTTGGAATTCCAGTCACAAGTTGTTCCTCTTGCTGTTGTTATGTGCCGTGGAGTCGGTTCCGACTCATAATGACCCTGTACAGGGTTTCCGAGGCTGTAAATCTTTACACAAGCAGAAAGCCACATCTTTCTCCCGGGAACACCTGGTAGTTTCGAACTGTTGACCTTGCGGTTCGCAGCCCGATTCATAATCACTATGCTATCAGAGCTCTTTATTCCTCTTGACAGTATCCCACATAAATCTAAAGACTTTGTTGCTCTGTTGTTAAATGCCATCAAGTTGGTTTCAATTCATAGTGACCCTGAGTAGGGTTTCTGAGAGGCAGCTGGTGGTTTTGAAGCTCTGACCTTGTAGTTAGCAGGATTTATTAAAAGATTTTTCTTCAAGTTCAATAATTCTGCCTTCCATTGACCTGTTATTGGCATGTGGGAACTACCAGGTCTCTCTCTCTTAGTCTGCTCATCAGTAAATGGGATAAGAGTAGATAATTGGGAAACACACAAGTGGTTGAACAATTGACCCAAGGATACAGTTAGCAAATAAGAGAAACAAGAAGGTTCCCAGTGTATCCTATAGGCTACTGTGGGCTTAATGATGAGTAACAGTGACCAGCCCATAAATACTTGACTCCCCTTTAAAGGAATAGACTTTGAGGCCACCTAAGGAGGCCATCAGCTTGGAACCTTTGGTTGCCAACCACCTCTGCCTTGTTTGCATGAGTGAGCCCAACACATCAGATTGTGGTATGACGCTGCTCAACTTTCCTTGGCTGCCCTGTTTGTGCCTTCTGCAGTGCCAAAAGCCTAGGTTTGGGATGCTTGGGTAGAATACCAGGGCTTTGGGCCTGGCCCCTAGCAACCCTTAGGTGGCAGACACTGAGGTGCTTCTAGTAAATGTGCTGGGAAAAAGGGGCTGACAGGTATCTGGGATAGCTTTGTGGGTGGGCCGAGAGGCCAAGTTTTCTACCTCACTTCCTGTGGGCTTCTGTTGGTCAAATGTGGTATAGGGGACTCAATTGCTTTCTGGTATGTTAGGTTGGCCCTGGCTGAACTCAGCAGAAGGCACTTCCAGTCTGCAGGGAGCCTGGTATAGGGCAGTTGCATGGAGGTGACCCTGTGAAGCTGGAAACTTTCAAAGACATGCACTGAAGTACTGCAAGATAGCTCTGTACACTTTTGTTGCTGTTTTTAGGGTGACCCTATGCCCCCTGAATTCCACCAGGTGGCACAGTGTAAAACCCATCTGTAGGGCGCAGGAAACTGGGAGAGGAGCTGCAGGTGGCAATGTCTGTTGCACTTTGTCAGCACTACCCTGACGTAAGGTCACAGAGCAAGAGGGCCGTGGGGAGCTTTCCTCTGTGTTTATTTTCTCTCATATAAAAGTTACACATTTGAAATGTCTGCAGGAAGATGCCACTATTGGGTGGGTTAACTGGGGGGGAGATATATTACAATGCAACATTTGGGGAAGAAGGGAGGGAAGGGACAGCTGGAGAAGGAGATGTTTCTTAGAATTGGCATTCAGTTTGGACATCGGTGTGCCGGCATTTTCCTTGGTTTCTTTCCACACCTGCCAGATGAGAGCTGACGTTTTCTAGAGGGGACCAAATGATCTGTAAAGACTGATTCCCGTTCTGGCTCAGACCCCTAGGACGCGCGGCAAATCACAGCCGAGGCTGCAGCACTGAGCAGTGGCCAGAACAAAGAGGGTGTCTTCTAATGAGGCACAGGTTGGGAAAGCTTGTCACTCACACACATACACACACACTATACCTCATGCAGCCAGACCTGCTCTCACCACCACGGCTCCAGGCCTGTTCAGAATTAAAGGAAGGCGTAGAGGTCTCCTTCTCCTCCCGCCTCTGAGAACCAGACAGTTAAGCTCACTGATTGGGAAAGCAATGGGAAACCACTTTGCTATGCTCCAGAGAGAGACTCCTAGGGGTTTTCTGAATTATTCGTACAACTCCGTGTACAGAGCAGCTCCTCACAGGCACACACACATGGCAGCATTCAACAGCTGGGTGAAGGGTGGGGTGCAAGGTGGGAAGGGAGTGGAAAAGATTGAAATGAGAGGACTTTAAAAGAGGAAACAAACGAAAAACCCAACCCCACACACAATACTGTTAATAAACCAGCGACTGTACACACACACACACAAACACACACACCTTAAATAATAAAGTGACACGTTCCGGCCCAGCTCTGGCAGCGTTGCTACCAGAGATGTTTAGCTGACATTTCACAGATTTCCTCCTCTCTATGTACAGGAACCTGGTGGCACAGTGGCTGCAACCCACCAGCCATTGCCCTGCGGGAGAAGCATGGGGCAGTCTGCTTCCGTAAAGATTTATAGCCTTGGAAACCCTAAGGGCAGTTCTACCCTGTCCTATAGGGTAGGAGTTGGAACACAAAGCAAAAGAGGGGGAAAAAAACAGAAACCAGCCCCAATCTTCTAAGGAGCCCACAGAGGTTGCCTCTACTCTCTTCCTTTGTTCTGTTTAAATTGTGCTAATCACAGCTAGTGGGTTAGGCGGTTGAAGCTCACCAGCTGCTCCTTGGAAACCCTATATATACAGGGTCACTATTTGTCGGAATCGACTGGATGGCATATCACATCACAGATGGATCCTGGCCGGCCCCTGACCCAGGAGCTGTGAGTACTTCCTTGTTCATGCTAAAGTGGGCCTTGGGGGGGAGAGGGGTGAGAAAGAGGAGGCAAAAGCCCTGCAAAGAGATGTGGCGCCCCCACCCCACCTTGCCTTGGATCGCCCATCTCTCCGAGGTGAAAGCCAGATTTAAAGTGAACGTAGAGGCCTGCTTTTGGAATCAGAGAGGTGAGGGGCTAGTTTCAGCCTCTCAGGGACACCTCTCTTTCCCAAGGAAACATTGTCCTGGTATGCTCAGAGGGAAGCCTTCGGGGGGTAGGGGCACAGGTAGAGTTTAAGGCACACAGCAAGCAACAAACATGAGACCCGCGGGCCTTGCCCCAGGACAAACATTTGCCCATGCTCCTCTCTGGATGAACACATCTGAGAGCTAAAAGGACTCGAGCAGTCAAGAAGTGTGTGAGGGTAAGGTCCTCTCTACTTCAGCCTCCTCTTCCCACTCTGGAAAGCAGCGGAGGGACAAGTATCTGAGGCTGGAGGAGGCGAGGGTGCACCAAAAGGGCAGAACTCCACCCCCCCCACCCCCAGACTGTAAATCTTTACCCGAGCTGACACACTCCTCTCTTTCCTGCCACCTTGAGGTTAGTAGTCCAGTGCTTATCCTACAGTCTCACCAGGGCTCTTTACAGGCACAGCAGAAGACTGAAGACCGGTACTGTGAGGAGGGAGCTGCAGGACACTCCTTGCCACTCCACCCTCCATTTCAGAAAGTAGGATGGGCTATCCTCTGGGAGCGGGGGCGCCTACATCTCCCTCAGCTTATCCCACTGATCCTGGGCGGGAGGGGGCAAGGGAAGAGAGAAGTGAAAGCTGACACAATGTTAAAATCCTGCAACCACCAGTTCACCAAGCAGTCCTAAACCCTGCACGGTGGGCTTCTCTGTGGCCATAGGGTCTGCTCCTGGGGAGGAGGGGAAGCTGCCCCGTCCATCCCACCAGAGGCCGAGCCACTCTCCACCTGCTCAGGGAGCAGCAGCTCCAGGTCCAAAGTCTTGTCGGAGCTGCCAGCTGTGCCGCTCTTGAGCATTCTCCTCGCTCACGCACCTGTTCCTAGGTTTTCTCTTCCCGGTCTGTTTTTCTCCTTGTTATATTCCGGGGTTTGATTTTCAGCGAGAGTTCCCATAGGGCCTCCTCAGCCAGGTGGTCACTGAAGTCATTGAAGAAGTTTACAATGTCATCATTTCTCCGGATGTCGTAATGCCTGGGGAGGGGAGGCAGGTAGTGAGAGCCCGACCTGGTCTACAGCAGCCTCCCTCCACAGCCAAACAGGTCAGTGTGTACTGACTGGCCTCCCCTTAAGATGAGACGGGTATGTTCCCTGCTCTGGGAAATGGGGATAACAAACAGGGCAGTTACACTCACGCCTGCTGGAAGCACCGCATACTGTCCAGGATGTTGAATTGCTGCCACCGCTTGGAGAAGTTCACTTTCCCGTCAATATAGTCTGGGTTACCCAGGTGAACAAAGGTGAGGTCCTGTAGGATTAGCCCCCTGAAAGGATGGAGGAAGCTTTGTGACTGCTCAGAGAGCTGGCCCAATGCCAAACCCAAGCAGCTAGTCTGGGAACTGACCACATATTTCTTCTCTTGTGAAGAAGGCCTGGGAGTTGATGCTAAGGCCCCAGGTGCTACAGTGTATGTGAATAATGCATCAAGAGTAAAAAAACCCCAAACTGGGCTTCATTCACAGGGAGGGTGTTTTATTTTAAAATGGATCAGTTCTTGCACTGAGAGTGCTCCCTAATCGAGTCAGGAGGAGCAATGGCTACAAGTGTGAAGATCTCCGAGCCAGTTCCCTCAAGCACTCACCCTAGAAGACATGTGAATCTCTAAGTCCAGGAAGGGAGAAATCAGTTTAGCCAGCCCATATTCTGGATACTTCTAACTCTGGTAGTGTAGTGGTTACGAACCGGGCTGTGAACTGCAAGGTTGGTAGTTCGAAACTACCAACTGCTCCTGGGAGAAAGATTTACAGCCTCGGAAACCCTGTTCAGAGTCGCTATGGGTCGGAACCGGTTGGGCTGCTAATCTCAAGGCGGCGTAAGGGAAGAGGCAGGGGTTCCGTGGGAGAAAGATGTGGCTCTCTGCTCCCATAAAGACTTACAGACTCAAAAACCCCATACAGGGTCGCTAGGGGTTGGAACCAACTCGACAGCACTTAACAACCTGAACATGTTTTCTGGCAGATAACAGAGAGGAAATCCGGATGGAGGCAGTGAAGGTACTACTCACAGGTATGGGATACAAGGAGGCTCCACCTCTGAGAGGGCTGCCCGGTAGGCTCGAAAGGAGGATGAGCTGTCAATCAACGTGCAGTACTCCGCCAAACCCTGGTCAGGACAGTACACAGTTATGAGCGCCCACCATGGCAGACTGTGCTGCCATGTGCCAGCAGGGACTGGAGCTCTTTTTATTGGGTGTTGGCTACACATGGGTACAGGGTCTTCCCCAGGGTTCCTTGTTCTTGGTCAGAGTTACCTTGGAGTCACTGTACCTACCATGTAGGCAAGTACAGGAAGAAGAGCTTCCTGGGGAAGCTCTGGCTCAAGCAACCTCTCAAAAGCTAACTGAACTGGGCCCTTGCCTATGAGACAAAGTAGATCCACCTGCTGCTTGGTTCTCCTCTCAAAAGCCTTCTTGCCTCTGTAGGACAAAGTTTTATAATTGATCCTTTGTGTATGTATAGCGATATAACTCTAGAGGCCCAGCCACTTGACATCTCTCCTCAAGGAACATCTTCTCACCAGGACCCACAGTGACATGGCCACGTGGACCTCGTACCATCTGTTACTGGTATATGTGGCCTTCTGTCCCCTTCCAGGAAACACTTCACTTCTCGGGCCCCTGGTCAGACCACCTTGTCATATGCTCTTAGCACCCAGCCCCAACTCTCCCGAGTGCCAGGTGGACGGACACGAGGAGCCCAGTCCCAGCTCACCTCTGAGGTTTGCTTCTGCCACTCTAGCCTGCGGATAGGTGCCGAGTCCAGAGCAGAGAGAATGGCCAGATAGGAGTTGAAGTTATTTAGCTTCCGTAAGTGCTGCCGAGAAAGGGAGTGCTTGTGAGGCGGTGTGAGGGAGCAGGTAAGGGAAGAGGCAGGGGACAGGTAGGCCCAGTTACCTTCATAATCTTGATGAACTTTAAAAGCAGCCGTTCTCTGTCCTGGGCCTTTTCTTGTAACATGATGATTGAGCGAACCCTGAATGGGTCAAGGGGGTGAGAAAAGACAGTCTCAATGATAGGTGATCCTGAAGCTGGTGGGACTCCTGCTCAGACCTAACCCCCTGCTTCAACCCCTCACCCCCCAGGGCCCCCTGAGGCTGTGAAGGGTCAAAGCAGATAAATGGTGGGGTTGGCGGGTGGGGGGGGGGATGAACTGGCATGTGGTTAGGGATGGGCACATCTTCATCAATGACCCAGGAGAAAACAGCAACCAAAACAGAGCCAGTCTTGTCTGGGCCAAGTGTGCAGTGAGGACTTCATCTCATGGAGTCCAGCCCCAGACTCACTTTGCCTGGTCAGCCCTGTAAAAGGGTACCTGCCTGGAGGACCCCCAGTTCCCAAGGCCAGTCTGGTCTGGGCCAAGTATGCAGTGAGGACTTCATCTCATGGAGTCCAGCCCCAGACTCACTTTGCCTGGTCAGCCCTGTAAAAGGGTACCTGCCTGGAGGACCCCTTAACCACAGTTCTGGAAAGACTCCATCTAGCAATGGAGGGGTGCAGCCAGAGCTCCCTTTACTCAACTCAGGGGCTGGATGTAGTTGGAGGTCAAACTCAGTGGCTGGGGGTACAGTTGCAGTCTGCCCCAGAAATCACCACAACCTATTGGGCGAAACCCCAGACTGTAGGAAGGGTGGCTACTGCTGAGCACACGTAGTGTGAAGAGCTACCTATGGTGGGAACAAAGCAGGGAAAGTGCTGTTCTGGGATTCCTTTCTTTCCCCAGGTGGCAGGGCTGCCATCCTCTAGTGAATGCCATGAGGCTGGACACACTTTTCATTTACATCTTGAAGAGCTAAGCTTTCTGAATTATAAGCACAGTTTTTGGCTTCAATTTGTCTTAAGAACTAAAGACTAAATAATAAAAGTATTAATATAATAAAAGTATTAATAAAACCTTATGTCTTCTCCTTCGGGCAGAATGACTGTGAGGGTTTACCCTACTAATGAAGAGATTAGCAACGACTAGTACAGAACGGCAAACAATCCCCCTGGCCCCTGCAATCCAGAGCAGACATTACAAAATCAATCCTGGTATTCCCTTCCTTGCTGAGCTTCAAATTCCTCACTCAGCTCTCCAGGTAGTCACTTCCCACTGTAGGAACTGACATGCAGGGTGAGCCCATCGTGTCTCTGCCCTTGTTCTTTGCTGCCTCCAGTTCACAGTTAATGCCCACAGGGCCTCAGAAGAATAGAAAGTTCTCGGGGAAGGAACATGTGGATGCCTCTGAGATGTGCTGTAACCAGACACCGAGGGCTCTAAGGCCCCTTCTTACCAATAGGACATGTTGTTGAAGTGTTCAGTGAACTGCGTCAGGTTGGGGCTCTTCTCCTCGTTTTGCTCTTTGGCCCAAAGCAAAACCTCAGGGATCTGAGGAAGGAAATACATTGGATATATATAGCTGGAGCCCTCTGCTCTTTCCTGATGGGTAGTTTCTCTCATCTGGAGATGCCTACGGGGATGGGAAGGAGCTCTGGTAGCATAGTGGTCAGCAGTTTGAAACTACCAGCAAAGATTTACAGCCTTGGAAACCCTGTGCAGGGTCACTACGAGTCAGAACCGACTCCACAGTACTTAATAACAAGGGAGATGGGATGGCCCCATAGTTTGCACAAGCCTACTGCCCCCATGCCCTGTACCACTGACCGCCATACCTCTATTTTATAAAAGAGCTCAGCATCTAGGAGTGTCAACTGCTCTGCTATTTCATGGCTGTGGAAGTCATGCAAGGTCCCTGGCCTGAAAGAGAAGGTGTGAGAAGAATGGTCAGGGTAGGCGAACCAGCAGCACACTCTCAGACCATCGAGGGAGGCAGGCCCCAAGGCTCGCTTCCCCACAGGCTACGTCACAGTCTCAGAGGTCCCACAGTGGCTTGCTTAGCAGCGAACAGGACCAGAGCAGATTCTCCCCCTCAGTCCCTCAGTCCTGGTGCTTCTCCTGAATCAGTGCTGTCCACCTGTCTCTCCTCCCTCTGCTGTGTGTCAGGGACACAGGAGGCAGGGACACTGATAGCTTCCCTAGTGAGCACATGGACTCCTGTGTGAGAGTTTAGGTGCCCAAGGACTTTTGCTCACAGACGAACCCTACTCTGGGCAGTGCCATATCGAAGAGTTAAGGAGCTGCTCAGTCAATATACATTTATATTTGGAATCAAAACTCAACTTAGTAGTGGGCCAGAAGGAGCAGGAAACAGATTTGAACTTTCATACAGATTCATAGGACTTTTCTGGACGGCACAGGGAGGCGGGGCTAGACTAACAGTTGCTGTGTTCATTAGCGCCATGAAGATAATCAAGAGCTGCCTGTAGCTAGGAACATACTCATTTCTCTCCCGTCCCACAACACCCTGTACTGGCCCTGCTGCACCGTTCCCTGGTAGGAAGGTGATCATCACACAACATATAGCTCAGGGCAGAAATCCTAGGAGCTGTCCCAAAAGTCTGGGTGGAGCTAGGAGGTGAGGCTGGGAGGAATGGAGGGAGGGGGGGTAAGCTGAGTAAAGAAGGACTAAAGGACTGCTAGTGAGGATGACTCCTCAGAGGAGGCAGGGGCTAGAGAAGTAGGCCAAAACCTAGGCCTGGAGCCCACCCAGCTTTGGATGGCTCAGCCTCGGGGCAGAACTCACAACCACGCAGCTGGCTCCTCACCTGGCTGCTACTCCCCTGGCGGCCAGGGGCTGGTCGGAGTTGGCACACCTTAGCAACTTCTTCTGGTCCACCTTGTCGAGGATGTTCTTTCGGAGCACACGGGCCAGGCTAAGCTCCCCATTGCACACCAAGCGAAAGACCAGTTCCATCAGCAGCTTCAAAATTTCTTCGGTCAACTCCACTAGGCTAAAGGGTCAAAAGGCCGTAAGGTGAAGGCAGGAACACAAGACCCAGGAAAGGTATGGCCAGCCAATGAGTGTGGGAGGGACCCAACTCAAATTCCAAAGGGCCATGATCAACAACACCCAGTTGGGAAACTACAGGTGGGGAGAGAGCAAGAGAAAAGGCGCTGGAATGGCTGCTTGCCTGGGGCACACCTTTCTCTGCCACACTCACCACATGTGACAGTGTCCCCAGTACACTCACTGAGTTCCCACTCCTGCTTTGAAGGCAGGACCTGTTTGGTTCACACTACCTCTCCAGACCTAATAAAGGGGAAGGCTCCCAATATATTTGTTACAGGAAAGAACAAATGCCAGGCCACAGGTCTGAGGTCGCTATGGAAATGTGGAGGGAGGGTAAAGGGGCTGCCCCCACCCCAACCTAGATTCCACTGGACCTACAACAGGGTTAATGGCCATGGCACCACCCTTCTGTGGAGGGGCCTTCAGCCAAGCTAGGGGGATGGCCACAGGGCAGTTTCCAGCCTCACCCTGGGCCACCCCACAAGGAAATCCAGGACCCAGGCTGGGGCAGGTAGGATTCCTCACTTTACTGTTGGGGGCACTGTTCATTTTCTCACAGGGCTGGACGGGGTTTGAGCTGGTGTTGGAGCAGGTCTGAGCCAGCTCTGGCACAAGCCCTGGGGGAAGCCGGGAAGAAGCCCAGCCCCATAGCCTGAGTATGTCTGCCCCAGGCTCCAGCTAATGATCACTCACCACAGCTCATCCACTACACGCACCAGCACGAAGAATGTGTTCTTGCTAACGCGCTTCTTGAACGTGTCGGCGAAGGGAGAAAACTTCTCATACGTGGAGCACGGGTTAAAGAAACAGCTGGTCCTTGTGTGGCGGGGGAGAGAAAGAAGGGCCAGCCTCCAGCTGCATTTACTGAGTGCTGCCCACTTTCGGGAGCCCTGGAGTAAGGCTTCCTTGTCTGGAGATGGAGGCACAGAGATGCTGAAGGCTGTGCGGAGGGGTGGGGCTGCACCCACACTGCCCTCAGAGCGTGTCTCCTGCACTTCCTACCCACTTTAACCCAGTTTCCTGTGTGCCTTAGTTAAGAGAGATGTGATCTAAAATAAGACACCTCAACAGACATATGTGTAAACCAGAGATGCCTCCAGACTCCTTCCCTAGGGTGTGCTACACATAGCTGCATGGACCCAACCTCTGCAGGACCCTGTGGCCAGTCTTGGCTTGGGGACTCTCCTAGGGAGAAGGAGCGCTCATCCCCTAATGCCTCCCAGAACTCACATGGACCCTCTTCTCCACAGCAGCCCTCCACCCTCCTGGAGACCCTAACTCTTCTGGGGCCCCCCTGCAGATGGCATTGGGACCACTCTCTACTTTCTGAGTAGTATTCAGGATGGAAGGCAGTGGACACAGCACCGCTAGCCAGTGTGCCCGGGAGCTAGCTGTGAAGCAGCCAGGCAGAGCAGAGGTCAAGAACCTAAAAGCACTGGAATCAGAGCTCAGGGGATGTGACCCCCAGGACACCTAGCAGCCCCCTGGGTCAGATCCGTGAGCTCGAGTCTCCTCAGTTACCTAACAGGCAATCATAGAAAGGTACCAAGATCACATGTGCAGGTGCTCAGCAGTGCGCCTGAAGCTAGTATGTTCTAAATGCCAACTTCTGTTACCCACTGAGCCACATGACCTGGTGCAGCATGTGAAGTGGAAGGAAGTCTGAGTCTCTGTAGAGGGGAACTTCCCACTTCAGCCTTGATCAACCAGGAAGTGTAAGGGGGGCGGGGAAAGGCGAGAAGGGGAAGCAGAAAGGTCTGGATGGAGAAGCACTCATGCTGGACAGGCAGGCACTGAGCTGGGGCCAACCCAGGATTCCTGTCAAGGTGACAGTAGCTGGCCAGCAGGGGGCAATGGTGGACTATGGTGCTGGGAAGCAGCCAAGCAGTAGCTCCAGGTAGATAGGATAAGTTTGAACGCCAGGAAGAGACAACACAAGTGGGTCCATCCAAGCTCCCAGGGGCTCCCTTGGGTAACTATGGCAGAAAGTGCTATTTTACCAAAGTGCGAGGCTGTAGGGCAGATGTGGTGGAGGGGCAGGTGAATTGTAGTTGGGCCCGCTGCTGCGTCTGCGGCTAGGTGAAGGGACTGTGCCTGTCTTGAGACTGTCCATCTGAACGGTGATTCCCTCAAGTCTCACACACTTTGATACTCATCACCCCAACACCCTAGATTACAGATCTTTTAAGGCTGGATATCTATGGGGACAGGCATGTGCTGTGCAAAGTCCCAGGCTGGTCTCGGCAGCAGCCCACACACCCCTCCCTCTCCAGGATGGCACTCAGTGATAAAAAGGGCCACCAGGCACAGACATAACTTCACTCAATCCTTTGAGATGAAGCAAGAGGAAGCTTTGCCGAAGACCCCAAAGGTGGGATGTGGCAGAGTAGGGCTGCAAACCCTGACCTGTTGGACTCCAATGTTCCTGTATCACACTGCTGACCATCTGGTCCCCTTGCAGCAGGGCTAAGCCAGGGTGGTTGGTCCTGGGGCAGAGGGCCGGACACTGCAGAACTCCAGAAAGGATATCTGTACTGCAGCTTCTTTATGAGCTCCTCAGGGGTGATGAAGGTCCGGTAGGTCGTCAGGAAGGCTTCACAGTACAACACCAAGTCTACAGTGGAAGAACAAAAGGAGCCAATTAACCAAGATGCAGAGGACTGGGGGTGGGCAAAGCTGGGCCAGAGAAGAGCTGGGCAATCCTCCTAGACAAGGCCTTCCTAGAGATTCATGAATCTTTTCAGGATCCAGCTCTCAAATAGGAGGGTGATCAGAGCTGGAAAAAGCAAATGAGTTTCATATTGCATGTACAATACTGACTTGAAACTGCCTTGAGAATGCAGCTTCAATGGGTTCTGAGGTCAGGGCTGGCCCCGGTAGGAAAAGAACTGCAGTTGGTTAGTAACGTCCGACATCAGCAAGGGATAAAGACTTGCAGGATGTCTGCGCTGGGTATTCACTTTCCCTGCATTAGAAATCCCTCCTGTGTTGATTACTTGAAGGGTAATAATCATTATACTCAGAGAAAATTCAGACTTATATGAGTTCTGAAGCTGTATCATAGATAGTATTTTCAGATGGCAAAGTCCAGTAGTACAAATACTTTGGGAAATTCCAATTATTGCAAGTCCTATGGAAAGGCTAAAGCAGCACAGCCTGGACTGCTGCTAGAATGCACACCACCCTCAAGCAGCAGGAGGAAGGAGGTCAACTTCTAGGAGCATGGCTCCAGCAGTTGGGGGTAAGGACGAACAAGAAGGCAGGCTATTGCATGGGTGGCCATGGGCTGCCAGCTCCTACCTACTTTCATTTTCCCTTTAGAGGGGCTGGTTCTAGTCAGGAGCTCCCAACCTTTTTGTATCATGACACCCCTTGTTTATTTGCTATTGTGACTCAGCCTCCTAACCATGCTATCTTTGACATTTAAGAAAAAAGTACTGGAATTTTTAAATGGCAGGACACTCTGGAGACAAACGACCTGGCCAGACTTATTAGTCCCAGAGTTACGCGTTGGCAAAGCTGCAATCCAAGTCCAGGTTTAACTTCAAAGCCTGTGCTCTTAACCATGGGGCAGAGCACACACTCATGCACCCAATTAAAATATCCCTTTTTGGGCATAGGTCATCTTGTATCGTCTTCATCCTCTCATATGTGGGATGTCTACTTCATGCCAGGCAGTAGCAGAGAGCTAGAGGAACCCCACTTCTCCAGTGAGGAGCCCCTGGCATGGCACAGATGCACAAACAGCTGGTGTGAGGGAGGCTTGCAGGCAGGATTTACAGTAGAGTTCAACACTGAGAGCTCAGGCTCATTCTGGACCGGCAATCCCACCTGGCTGTCTGTCAAATTTGGGATCTGTCTCGTTCAGAGAAGTGTTGGACAATGAAGCAGAGAGGGAACCAAGACGGACCAAGGGCTGTTTCTGTAAGAATGGAGCCCAGTCTGCACATCTTTGTGGGGGGCTGTCGTCATTGTTGCTAGTGGAGCACCTGGCCATGCTCTGTCCAGCATGCTCACAGCAGCCCCAGGAGGGCCAGAGACTACCGTTCCTCCCACTTCAGAGACAAAAAGTTCTAGGCCCAGAGCAAGGCAGCATCATGATGCCCAAGGTCTCATAGTGTGAAAGTAGTGGTGTCATGGTTTGTGCCCAGGTTAAAGCTCTTAACCAAATCTGCTGTGCCCCAGGTGATGGTTAATGTGGTACCATCTGATTTTTTATGAGACCGGTGATACATCAACACACTTTCTAGTGTTCACATAGCTCGTTGCAGCCCCAAAGCACTTTGTTACCTTGGCACATGATAATCAGAAAACCTTGGAAGGGGAACATCTTTAAGTGACAACCCTAGCACACACAGTTTATATGGAATGGAGCTAGATCGGAACTGAACTCTGAGAAGATCAAATTCAGTTTTACCCTCCACCACTCTGCTCCGATAATGTGAGTGCAGAGCTTTCCAGACAACAAAGCACTAACCATCCACCTAGGGCTCATGTGGGTTTCAATGTTTCTGAGCCTGGAGGCCTCCCAGGAGTGAATGCCACTGGTGTGTGATCCTGGGCAGCAGGAAGCCATCCGCTCAGGGAGCTGGTTTGTTACCTGTGTCCTTCAGTCTACTCCAGGTTCTCTGTCTCAGCAATACTCCTCAAGTACAATACCCCGAGCCTTATGGAGTTCCCATCTTTCTACTGATAAAATCAAGTGGAAGTTCGCTGGCAGCAGAGCCTCCTCTTGGTGCCGACTGTGGGCTCTGGGGCTGGGCTGCGCGCAGGACTTGGTCTCGGCCGGCAGGATGATAGAGTTCATGCTTCAGCTGAGGGTCTGGCGAAGCTCCCAAATCAACCTTTCACTTTTTTTTTTTTTTTTAAATAATAAAGTCTAAGGTCAATTTTTAGTTCTTTAAAAAAAAAAGGCAGTCACAACAATATAAGCCACATTGAAAATGTATCACTGAGTGGGCTTCAGGTAGACAGTGGATTTCTGCAAAAGCCGTTGAGTCTAAAGTGGGAGAGGGAAAGCCATCTTACTCCAGGGCTGGCCAGCTTCTAAGAGGTCTGCAGACACACTGCCAACTCCAGACCAATGCTGTCTAAAGCCAGGTCCCGCCAGTTCCGAGCCCACAAAGGACGGAGCTGTGTCAAGGGGGTAAAGGAATGGTGGGTCGTGGTGGGGCTGCTGAGCATTTACACGAAGCTCGGTGACAGTTGAGCGTTGGGTTTCACATGGATGTTCTGGCTTTAGCTCCATCTGTAATGACCAGCTGGTCTTTCAAAAAGGTCTAAGGCGAGGAGGGCTGACCTAGGGTCTGAGAAGCCTTTCTGGTCAGATCAGGTCTTCTAGCTGTTGGGCCCACCCCTCAGGTATCATAGACCTGTTACTGTGGGCTTCCCTCAATAGGCTAGTGCCAAAACTGGGGGTGGAGTGGGTGTTGCAGGTCAACCACCACAGTGGGGTTTGTCCATTTAATCAACATTATTGTAGTAACATTAGCGCCATCTTTTACATACGAGCGGGGCTTCCCTTTTTTCAACTTTTTTTTTTTTTTTTTAAAGTTAAGTGTGTCTTTATTTGCTTGTTTCCAACTTTTTAAAGAAAAGGAAGCTATTTATATATACTGAAGTCAGAAGAACTGGGACCAAGACCTACACCAGGCAGAGAGAAGAGCCAACCCAAATGCCAATGGCGTCTCTTTTGCAGAGAAGCCCTGGGTCTGGGGAAGTGAACAAGTAGAAACTATGAACTGAAAGCAAGAAAAGTTGGAAGTTGTGAGGGCCGGGGCAAGAAGGTGAGTCACCACCATTTTTCTTCCCAACTTGGAAAAAACACAACCATATGGGCTAGTGAATGTCAGGTGGAGATTATGGATACATTTGGAGAAGGAAACACCATTCTTTGGAAATGGGTTAAAGCAGTGATTTTTAAAACAAAGACAGTGGAACTACATTGTAAATTTTTAATCCTTTCTTTAAAGGTTGCCTAAGACCACTTTGAGTCCTGGTGTGGTGCTGTGGGTTAATGCGTTAGACTGCAAAGTTGGTTTAATTTGCAAGGTTGGTGGTTCAAGCTCACCAGTCACTCCTTGGAAACCCTCTACAGGGTCGCTATGGGTTGGAACCGACTCCATGGCACTTAACAACAGACGACTTTTAAGGAGCTCTGGTAGCGTAGTGGTTATGAATCAGGCTGTTAAACTCACGGTCAGTAGTTTGAAATTACCCAGCTGTACCGCAGTAGAAAGATGAGGCTTTCTGTTCCTGTAAAGATTTCCAGCCTCAGAAACCCTGTACAGGGTTGTTATGAGTCGGAATCGACTCCACGGCACACAACAACAACAACAGACCACTTTTGATTCAGAAAGCTGTAGAAAGTAACGGTCACAAGCAAACGCCAGGCAGCAGCACGTGGTAATTCTCCAGAGTCCTGCTTTGCGGGGGGGATCTGAATGCACTGCTGGGGTCTCTGCTCATACTTGCTGGAATCGTTCACAGCAGATTTTTAGTCCACAGTTCGCTTTCCCCCATATTTTTTTGGTCAACTCTTCAGCGTTCTTACATAATTTTTTCTGGTCCTTACAGTATTCTTCATCTAGCTGATCCCAGAGCAGTTGTTTGGGCTGGGGGTGTTGACCAGTGCTTTGAGGGACTGGTTACTTGGTCAGTTTTGGGTGCTGGTCTCTAGTTTTCAGCACTAATTAGTGGCAGGGAGACCTGAACCTTCTCATTGATGTTTAGGTCGATAAGTCTTTGTTTTATATGGGATCTTCAGTGGTCTGAACGGGTACTCTGCTGGAAAGCTGCTTTTGATTCTGAAGGCTCCCTTATCATATTTAACTTTCACTTTTTGACAAAAAATGAAAACGAAGAGTATTTCTTAAGATCAACTGAAGACTGAGCTATGATTTACCAGGTATGAAGTAGGATTTACTGCCGAGATTTGTTCTTGAAGATGACAAGGAGAATTCCTGAGCACTTCCTACATGCTGGGCATGTTTCATTTTAGCTCAGTGAATCTCCACATTGAAGCCGAGTGGTCGCTCAAGTCTATGAATGGGATGGCTGGGATCAGAACTCCAGGACTGAGCTCACCCAGAGTGCATCGAAGGTGTGAAGAGACTCTCAGGGCCGAACACTGGCTGCTGGAGTGCATGGAAATCATTGTTTTTCTCTAGTTCTCAAAATCTTTTCCATACTCACTGGAAAGAGCAAACTTTCCTTGAGGTTTTCTCTTAGTGGAATTACATAACTTGAATCCAATCTAGCAGGGATGGAATAATATAAGGGGCCTTCAGGAAAAAATATAAAAAGGGACTCACTTATTTTAATTTTAGCCTTATCAGTCAACATGTTAATTCAAACTACCATTTATCGAGCACTCACTGTGAGCACACTTTGCAGCCAACATTCATCTCCTGACAATTCTGTGGGGCACACACGCAGGACCCAGGAGAGGGGGCAGCGGATTTGGAGTGGGTCCTCAGTAGAGGAACCTAGCTTTGAACATGTCTGCTAAGGTGGCTCGCCCTACTCTGGCCCATTCCTTCAAGAACATTTCTTGGAATGATAACTAGTGTGCTAGCACAAGGCTACTCTCCAAGGTTGAAAGGACGGCCCTGGAGTTTCCAAGGCACTCACACTCTCTGGGTGCTCCGAGGTGTGGTGAGTCTTGGGTAGCTCTAGTCCTGTGAACGTTGATGGCACTGCTAGTAAACTGGAGGTTCCTGGACAGGACCAGGACACCACTGAGCACCACCCAGTAGACCTGCCTTGGTTTTGGCAGCACCAGCCCTTGACCCAGTGAGCTCTATAACCACCGTAATGGGGCTGCCTTACCTTTCCTGTCTGTCTCAGTAGCATGGACCAGTAAGATGTCCCCAGACCCTCCACGGACGTCTGGTCCATCGTCACCCTGCAATGAAATCAGTGGAGGGTGTGAGACAGGTCAGCGTGGAGGTAACAGGCAGAGATGAGACAGCAGATTGTGAAGAGACCCCAAATTCCCTTCCTTCTGGTCTTCCCCACCCCAGAGCAGAGTGGAACCTAATCCAGGAAGTGAATGGGCCCGAGAGCTGCCCAGGAAACATGGGCACTGGGACACACATCACTCCTTTGAATACATGAGTCACGGGAAATGGTGCCATTCAGCCAGGGGCAGAGAGGAGAGGTGGGATGTTCTCACACACTGGGATGTGGGAGCCCCCGGGGACGATGCATCAGCACCTCCAGGATAGCTACAGAGACAATGCCACCATTGCTACATGTGCTCCCGTCTTTAAAACTGCGGAAGGCCCTTTGTCCCAGGGGGAAGAAGTCACTTCTTCCATGGAACTCGTGCATAGAGGACTACAGAGTTACAAAGGCATCCAACTACACCTGATAAGTCCTTGTGTGGCCACTGGCCGCTGCCCACCAAGAAAGGAGCAGGTCTTCAGAGGCTAGAAATGGAACCACAGGTCTCACACCGCCAAGCCTGGCCTTGTTTGCTAATTTGTAATCAAACATCTGCAGGCCTCTTCATGTTTGCAGCACACACCTGCCTCTTTAGACATGTGGGTGATTTTATTCCCTGACTTTCCAAGGTCCTGAAAGTGTCTTGGATTTCCAGTGGGGGTCGGGGTAGCTGTGCCTATGACCTAATTTTTCAGCAAACATTTCTGAGGGTCATGAAACATTACGTCTCTGGAGAGTCGCCTAGTTGCCCAAGTGCCCCTGTCAGCATGGTGAGAAACAGCCTGCCAGCCCTCCTTGTGTGCTGTGCTCTCCTCTTCGTACAATGTGTAAAGTAAAGGACCATGTGCCTGTGTGTCATGGATCTGGAGTCCAGAGACACGCCACATGCCCAGGGGTGGACCAAGGTATTTTATGAAGCCGTTTCTGTGTTTCCAGAATCACAGAGCAGATAGCCTCCTCTTTATTGTGACAGGTCTGGGGATCATTTTTCTCAACAAGGCTCAGTATTGACAAAACTGTGTTCAAGCCTGGCTTTTCTTAGTTTGTCTCTCCCCTGTTTAACTATAGTAGGGTTATCTTGGTAACATAAAAAGGGTGTAGCACGTGCAGGCTCTGAACTGAGCACCTCACACACATACATTCTTATAATGACCCCAGCACTGCCATCATTTGAGGCTTTGGATATGTGTTATGTAACTTGTCCAATATTACTCTTGAGAAGATCAAGAGAAGGCAGTACACTTTCTCCTTGACTTCATCCATTTGCCCCATTATCTCTTAGCACCCACTATGTCTCTGGCAAGGGACCAGCATAAATGAGGCCACAGAGTCCAACCTCCAGTAGCCACGGTCTGGGTACCCCTGAGAGCACTGGCCGGCTCTGGCTGCAATACCCAGCAAGGGCTTATTCTGTGTGAGACTCAATGTTCTAGTCTCTTCAGAGCTCCCCTTGCTCCCTCTTCATGAGGCCAGATTCTAGAAAATTAAGGTCAGTAAAGTACTTACCTCTTGCTTGAGTGTCAACCTTGCCATAATTTCACTGTGGTCAATCAGGGACAGCTCGTCTACTTCCTCTTCTGACTGAGTTACATCCAGAGCATCTGGTGACTTTGGTGTCCTGGAAGGAGAAGTGGTTTGTGTTGCAATTGTGAAACTGGGCCCTCTTGGACTCACGAAGTCCTGAGGGCAGCAGGAGCATGGATGCTACAGAGTGAACACTGTATGAGATCTATGGAAGCTTATTCAGCTCCCCTGAACAGCAGCTAAAACATGCTTCACAAGCCACCATAGCAGGGCACAGCCGTGGACACAGCCAGCTTACGAACTGGACAACTAGTGTGGCTGCTAATGAGCTCTGTGACCTAGGGCCATTGCCTGTTCCCTCTCTCTGGAGGTGCCATCTGTCAAAGGAGGAGATTTAAGCAGGAGATGAAGAAGGCTCCATTGAGTGAGTTACTTTAAAAAGTGATGGTGTCAGTCATTCTTTGCCACTGTATGAGGTGGCTTAAAAAAGTTTATGGAAAAAGGAAATGAAAAGATAATGGAATTTTTCCACAGGAAACAACAAATGCTGGTGAGGGTATGGAGAGGCTGGGACTTTCTTACACTGCTGGCGGGACTGTACAATGATACAACCACTGTGGAAAACAGTATGGTGTATCCTCAGAAAGTTGGCAATAGAAACATCATATGACCCAGCAGTCCCTCTACTTGGTATATACAGTCACAAAAAATAACAGCCATGACACACATATGCTCATCGCAACACGACTCACAATAGCAAAAAGACAGAGACAGCCTAAATGCCCATCAATGGAAGAATGGATAAACAAACTCTAGTACATATACACAGTGGTTTACTAGGAAATATTTAAGAACAATGATGAATCTGCAAAATATCGCATAACATCGATGAACTTGAAGACATTATGCTAAGTGAAATCAGTCAGTTATAAAAGGAAAAATAGTGTATGAGACCAGTATAGTAAAAACTCAATAAAACGTTTCCATGCTAAAAAAAATTTGTTTTCATGGTCACCAGGGATGGAAGGGAAGGGAGCATAACTTACCGGCTACAGAGTAGGAACAGGTTAGCATGGGTGAAGGGTAAGGCAATATGTAAGAGGGAAGCTAGCAGATGATTGATGAAGATAGGTGAAGACACAGGAAGGTATGCAAAGGTTAAAGGGGACAGAAGTAAATAGTGCTATGTACACAATCTTGGAACAAAGTGTTCTGTGGGCAAACACATGGAATGGGTATGGAAGGGAAAGTGGAGGTATTTCCATAATTCTATAAGGGTTTGAAAGAGGATATTTGTACATGGGTATTTACCTTTGAATGTGGTGGAGCATACAGTAGGCAAAATGATGAAAACTTTCTAGGTAATGAGTTCCTGGGCATGGGCGCTCAGGACCACAGTGTCAGAGGACACCATGGTCAATTGGTATAACATAGTCCTCAAAGACAACGATCTACAGCCTACTTTGGTGAGAGTGACTAGGATCTTAAAGGCTCATAAGCAGCCATCTAAGGTGCAACTATTGATCTCTCCAGGTGCGGAAGAAAGAAGAATAATAAAAACTGAAGATGCTTGGAATCAACTAGTCCAACGGACAAATGGAGCAGGTGAACTTGACCATGTCTCTGAGTTAAGAAGAGAACTAGAAGGTGCCCAGCTACCACGATCAACTGCTCTGAAAGGATTCACATTAGAAGGTCCCAGACAGAGTGGCAGAAAATGTGGAATAAAACTCAAAACTATCAAAAAGACTGGGCTTACTGGTCACAAAGAGGAGGGAGGAACCTGAGACTATGGCCCTCAACCACCCTTCAGGTCTGGAATAGAACTCATCTTTGTGGCCCAATTTTCAGTCAAGTGGCAGTTAGGTGCATACGAGGGACATCAACACTAGTAAGGTATGCTCACCATGAAATGGTCAATCACTCAAGATCAAAAGGGCAACATTTACCTACAGTCAAAGTTAAAAAGGGATGGGAAAGAGGGTGGAATAGTAATAGGAACCACAGGGAGGAAGTGGGATACCTGTTGTTGCAGGGAGGGGATTGCAATCACTGACATGAACAAAGTCTATGATTTGTTGAATGTAAAATTGATGATCTGCTCTGTAAACCCGCACTCAATTCAAAATAAAAAGTTAAAAAAAAAAAAAAGATAATGGCATTTTTCCATGAATTTTTTTTGAAGCCTCCTCAAATATATAGTATTTGAGGAGATGAATAGCAAAAGGCAAGCAGGATGGGAGGAAAAGAGGGAGCCAAGTTAGCATCAATCTCTGCAATTCCTCGTCTTTCTGAGGCCTGCTTTCCATCAGACCCTTGCCTAGCACTGAGAAGCATCGGTGACAAAGCAGATGTGGCCCCGGTCCTCAATCTAGCAGGAGAGACAGACATTTATGGTGTGATGAAAGAGGAGGTGCAGAATGCTACAAGAAGTATAAGCAGGGGACCTAGTGTACTGGAGCAGGCTAGGGAAGGCCCCCTGCGGATGCGGCAAACAAGCTGAGACTAGAAGCACTAAATCGGGGCTTGCCAAGTGAAGAGAGAACACTTCCTCAAAGGAAATGTGAGAAAGCTGGGAGGTAGCTAAGACAAGTCTTCCAGCTTGGGGCATTACAGGGAGTAGAAAGGAGTTCAGGCTGAAGATACCTTGTTTTTTCTGCTACATTCCCGTTTTATTCTTGGGACTCCATGGCAGCTCTGTGGAAGAGGCCATATTTTTAACCAGGAGTATTTGACACTATAGATGTATGCCTTTAGTAAGAGAACACAGATGGGCCAGTGCAGAGTAATCTGCAGTCCAGGGAGGAACCACTGTGCTACATGTCTTGTCAACATGACTCTGCAGCTTGGCCTTCTTGGAGAGAAGACGTGCTTCTAGTAATTTTCCTAAAGGGACAATGTGCTTACCCGAGCCCTGGTGACAGTGTGGTAAGCACTGTGCTAATCACAAGGTCGGTGGTTCAAACCCATCAACTGCTCCATGCCAGAAAGATGAAGCCGTCTGTTCCCATTAAAATTTACCATCTCAGAAACCCTATGAAGCAGGGTTATAGGGATGATCTTCTGCTTACAAGATTGCTGAGAGTGGGAATCGATTTGATGGTAGGGAGTTTGGTTTTAGTGGGTTATATCCCAAGGACTAGCTCGAACTCTGAAAATGACATTTTTGGGTCCAATGAAGCTGGAGACAGGATAGGCTAGTTGCTCTTTCTGGTACACATGCCATTTGTAAGTAGGTGTCAGACACCCAAGGCCCACCAACTCTGGCTTCACACTAGGGAAAACCCTGGGCTGGGGAAGATTCACGTGGATGGCACCCAAAACAAGCAAACATGCAAGTGGGGTGTGTGTCCTCTCCAAAAGGCGCTTGGAAATGATTTCTCCTTTTTTTCCCCTTCTTTCTCTTGCTACTCTGACCCTCTTCTCAACTGTTCCTGCTTAGGTCTGGCAGTGTAAGCAGACAGTGCTTAGCTCTGCCAAGAGCAGCCAGGACTACAGGGGAAGCCAAACCTTGGCCTAAAGAGGGGGGGAAAAGCTTGAATATGTGGAATATTTCACAATGGAGGTGAGGTTCACGAGAAGCTGCACGTAGAGGTGCAGATTTGGAGATCCCACATACACTATTTTGTAAGCAGATATTGGGAACAATTATTACCCATTTCTAAACCTGGTTAAGTGTGGCTTCTGCTAATGTTAAAAATGTTACCAGAGATGAAAGAGATGTAACTATGCAACACACAACTCTTGATTGACTGCTCTTCGTTTGAAAAAAATAAGCCATCCATGCAAGACACGTTGGCGAGAGTTGGGAAACTAGAAAATGGTGTACACATCATATGACAAGAGGAAATTTACTGTTCATTTCCTTAGATTTGATCATGGCATTGCAATTTTGTAATTGGGTAGGATTAAAAAATATTTTTGAAAGAGGCATGCTGAAATATTTGGCGGCAAAGTGTGACGGTATCTGCAATTTACTTTCAAATGGTTTAGCAATAAAACATACACGTTATCTAAAAAATTGGGGCAGGAGGCTTTTACATTCTTTTACTGCACTTTAACTTGGAGGAGACTGAGGAAGGTTGGCTTGGGATTTGGTAGAGCAAAGTCTGTTGTGGGTGGTTTGTAAGGTGGGATGACGTGTTAAGTGTATAGTACAGATAATCAAGAGTAATGGCAGATTATGTATGAGAATTAAGAATGAAGCCCCTTGAGGGGTGGAATTATTAGTGCTTGTTCCTGATTTCTTGACGCTTTCTGCTCTTCCCACATTTTCTGCCCGAGGCGTGCATTCTTTGAAGAATCCAGGCCTGCCTGGCACCTTGGTGGGCAGAGGACCGCGCAGGCAGTCTAGCTGGTGGGCATGTTGCCCTTAGGGGCACAACGGGGCAGGAGGAGCAGGTGAAAGAAACATGGCTCTATGTAGTTCACTCCTACCTTTCACCGCCTTCTCTCTTTTCCTTTCCAGGTGCACTGCCCACTGAGGAGGAATCTTTGGGATGGCCGTCTTTCATAGCTGGTGATTCCTGAAAAGAGAGTGTTTGCATTTTGACAGGTGCCCATGCTGGGGTTGATCTGTCTTCCCAGCAATCCTGCCTGTAAATGGCTTTTGAGTGCAAGTTCCTACGGAGCAATCTGAGATGTGAACAAGTTAATGATGAATGTGGTTAATTACACAGGAAACACAAAGACCTCTCCAGACTAACATCTTGTCTTTGGAGAGAATGAAAGGGTACTACTATTTATAACATCTTGTAAGCTTTCAACCTAGATGGAGCCATCTCACTATCTCCAGGGAGAAAGAGGACTCTCACAATAGCTACTGCCTACCGGAAACTCAGCCAGGCTCTTCACACATCTTCCCAATTATCGCTTACAAAGACTCTATGAGTTCACACTAACATCATCCTCCCTGCTTCACACAAGGAAGCAGAGGCTTGGAGCAGTCAAGGGCACTGACCAGGACCACACAGCTAGTTAAGTAGAGCCTGGACGTGAACCTGAGTTGTCTCCCTCCAGAGCCTATCATAAGCACTGTGCCCTGCTGTCCTGTAGTCAAACTTTGCTTACTTTCAAAGTAACAGAAGTCTCCAGTCCTGCGGTGCAGAACAATACAAACTCAGGTCTCCTTTGTCAGCTCCCACTTTAAGAGTCCCCCAGGTCTAGTGCAGGAGTGCTAACTCCCTCTCCTCCACCTCTGGGCTGTATGACCCCACTCAGTAATAACTGGCCCGTCAACACCCTTACTCTGTCCCCAAGGCAAAGATGGAGAATGGGGCAGCAGGAATACCTGGAACTTTGTCGGTGGAGAGCACTTCAAGGCAAAGAAAAAGGCAGCTCGGAAATGAGTCTCTGGTTGAGGGGGAGCCACAGGAAGTGAGCCTAGTTGGGCTCTATCACACTGAGGCTGGGCAGGATGGTGCTGGGTCCGAGGGCCCCAGGGGGAATGGGCAAAGTGGAGAGGTGAAACCCCACTGCAGTCAGAATGCCTCAGTATTCCATGACTAGCAAGGTCTGAAGTTGGGCCTGCTGTGTACACATCAAAGAACCTCTGGGAACCCTACTGTGGACAATCATAACGGGAGCAACTGAGTTCTTAAGGGACAGGGACCTTTGAATTGCTAATTATGGAGGACTTAAGTCCCCATGACAGCTCCCCTTCAAGCAACTTGTTCCATTCAGGCTGGCGGTGGAGATTTATTTTTGAAGCTATAGAACTTGCTCATGTTTTACTGCAGCAAGACCTAGCAAGTGAACTGCTCAATAGAATTGTTGTATCTTGACTGTCAGGAGCTGGGATAACAACATATTGAGGACGAGGATGTCAAATAATTCTTCACTGTCTCACAGAGACATGCACCTAAACACGGCAGGAGCTAACCTTCCAGGTTCGCCCAGCTTCCTTGGAAGCAATCACATAGGAGCGATGGAGCGTCCTGGGGAGGAACATGACATGTGAAACATTAGAGGATGGGATAGAAAGAAATCCTACAGAGAGCGCTGGGTATATGGCCAGGGCCAACACAATGGCTCCTCCTTGTTGATTTCCAGAAGACCCCATCTGTCAGGCTCCGAGGAGGTGCCTCACACACACACTAAAGCAGAAGCAAAGGGAAGACCATCACAAGGAAGCTATGTTCTCTCCCTGCTGAACCAAGCCGGCTTCCTAAAGGCTGCAGGAGGCTACTCTGTTAGTGGCTGGGTACTCAGCCAAACAGAAGCAGGGGCAAGGGAAGTGGCCTCAGGAAAGCAGAGGCCCATGTGCAGCCAGGCCACATGCATGACGCAGCCAGTGCTTGGACTAGGACTGCATCCTCGTCCTCCTGCCGAGGGTTACTTACTCCTAGAGAGAGAGGGAGCGCCTCGATGCTTTGGTCAGAGGAATACAGACTGACGTATTCTCTCTCACCAGCGTCCTCACTGGTGTTTTCACTCTAGGGGAGATGGGATGAGAGGAAATACACATGTGACAGGCCCTCTTCTCAGTCCTCAAGGCTCAGAGAAGGCAGCCAAAGGGCTAGTCCTAATCAAGACGCTCTTTTTATAGTGTGTCTCCACACCATGTACAGAATGTGCTCTGCTCCCCTGGGAAGTTAGTCCTCAGGTGCACAGAACAAAGCTGCTCTTACCACCTCCTATCTCTATGTTTGAGGGGACCTAAAGTTTCCTGCTGGTTCTGTCCCCAAACGTTAAACTGTTCTGGGAAAACATCTTCGACCCTAACTGGGCCTGCCCAACAATGTCGAGATGAGACAAAGGCATGGAAGGAAGCAGCACATCAAGACCACTCTACAATCTGCCAGGCTAGATCCCACGTGCCTATGTGTCTCTAGTTGTCCACATCAACCTGCAAGTGACAGTTTCCCGTGTCCCAAAATGACCTACTAGCAACTTAGTAAGAGAGGAAACAGGCCTTTGATCCTCAGTACTACATGAAACTCAATATGCAGCATTTCCTTTGATCTTTGTCACTTCCACACTTTCAAATGCCTTTACACATTTCTCTAAATGCAAACCAACTCAGAAGAGTGTAGCATTTTCTATCATATGATTATGTTGTTGTTGTTCAGTACCGTAGAGTCGGTTCCGACTCATAGTGACCTGTATAAGGTTTCCAAGGCTGCAAATCTTTATGGGAGCATGAAGCCTCATCTTTCTCCCGCGGAACAGCTGGTACTTTAGAACTGCCAACCTTGAGGTTAGCAGCCAGATTCGCAACCACTATGCTACCAGAGCTCCTTAAAACTACCCCTAAACAGTTCAAACTCACCAGCTGCTCCTCGGAAACCCTATACAGGGTCGCCATGGCTTGGAAAACCATTGACAGCACTTAACACCACCAACACCAGATGGTTACTGGAGTCCTGGTGTGGCACTATGGGTTAATAAGCTGGACTGCAAGGTCGGCAGTTCAAGCTCACCAGCCATTCCTCAGAAACCCTATACAGGGTCGCTTATGAGTCGGTACCGACACAACGGGACTTAACAACAACAACAAATGGTTACTAATTCATTTGTCCTAGTTTGATGGCTCATTTTCTGTTCTGAAAGGAGTCAGGCTATACTACCTTCCTCATGGTTTCCAGCCATTCTAATCATGCTGAAATGTGTGCATGTTCGCGACACACCTGGCTGCGATGAAGGGGAGAGGAGGGATGTCTTTCCAGAACAGTAATACTGCTTTCAACAAATGTGTGCTCCATGTTGAAGGTGTGCTTTTTGAGTTCTCACCAAAGGCGTCTGGGGCGAGTCAGTGAAAGAGGTTTCGGGAGGAAGGCAGACAGTGTTCCCATGAAAGCTGCTCTCCTGAGAGGATGAAAGAGGCCCGTCCACGGTGTTGGAAGGCGGGCTGGCTACAGCTGGCACCACTAAGTCAGAGCTCTGAGACTGGTGGACAGGCGGGAAATGTGGAGAGGAAGAGGAGGTAGACGGAAGGAAAGGTTGAACGGAAGCTTGGTTGTGAGGCACGAAATCCTGGGAGTAGGACCTAAACACAGATTTATACTACAGAATCAAAGTGAAAAAACAAACACAGAAACAAGATGGGAAGAAAAAAAAGACAAACAAAAGAAGAAGTGATTAGATTCGCTCTGACTGAGCAGTGACATTCTGACAGTGACTCAAACAAAAGATCCGGCTTACCATACCCCCGCCCCTTCCCCATGGTCTCCTAGGCCCTTTCCCACCAGAACCTGATGCTTCTTCCCTTAGGAGAGGGCCTAAGACTAGCCAGTGGTGTCCCACTACCTCCTCAAAATACTAGGATGTGGAGAGTGACTCCCTGATGCTCACCCCCAACCCACCAAATCAGGTCCCATAAATTACATAGGTGAACACATACGTAATTTTTTTTGTCAGAAAATTCAACCTATACAACCCTTTCACTCAGGAACCTTAAGGCTAAATTAAAAGTATGTGGCTAGATACATGGTCATTATTTACTCATTTTGAATCTTTTGGATGAAGCTTTGGCTTCATCCCTTCAAAGTTAAACACTGCTTCATATTGTAACTTTAAATATTATAATTACCTCAAAACCTTTTGGAAGGGAAGAAAACAGTCTTCTAAAAAAATGGTTGGAAGAACTGTGCTATCCAAAACACTAATATAATATCTTCTACAAGGGCATGTCCCTTCCTATTAAACCTTTTATCTTACCTAATGATTTTACAAACACCTTGGATGCTACTGAGGAGCCACAAGACTCGAATTTCCCAAATTCTCACCAGAGAGAAAAGTGTGAGGCTAGAGGAGTGACAGTGAACCACCCATGGCTTCTTAGATGCAGGGGATCTTCAGGGCTGGGCTTGCTCGCCTGCTGGACGGTGACAGAGTAGTTTTGGGATCTCTGGCCTCAAGGCTGGGAATCTGATGGAGCACTGTGCTTTGCAAAGAGCCTGCCACCACACTGCTAACTGTTACAGGGAAATGTGGAGACACTGGAACTCCGTAAGAGACAAACCCAAAACAATGTGCACAAGTGCTCACTCAAATGTCTTCACACCTGCTGTTGAACAGGAGTTTTAGAATCCATGGAAACAAAGTAAAGGAGGCAGAAGAAACTGCTCACATCCTTTAGAGTTTTGCAAAGATACCTTTTAAGCGAGAGCTGCCACAGCTCAAGGAGCTGACAATGGGGCCCAAAGCTCTAAGGTCCCTCCTTGATGATGCCAAGGACCTATCATTCTGAGTTCCAGTGGCTGTTGCTCTATCATACCTATGTCTTTTACCCTAGACACCTACTTGTTCTTATTTTTATACCACCTCACAAAATCCTCAAGGCCAAACCCTGTACTTGGTTAAATGAATTAGTGAACGTACCACGTGTTGCTGACCAATTAACACCAAGTGCTTTGATTGTTGTTGTTAAGTGCCGTTGAGTTGGTTCCGACGTATAGCGACGCTGTACAGGGTTTCCGAGGGTGTAAATCTTTACGGGAGTAGAAAGCCTCATCTTTCTCCCACGGAGCAGCTGGTAGTTTCAAACTGCTGACTTTAAGGTTCGCAGCCTGATTCGTAACCACTACGCTACCAGAGCTCCTTTGATACCTGCTAGAAATCAGTTCCGTTCACATTCCTTTTCTCAGAAAATCTCACCAAGCAGACTGGTGGCTCAGCACTGTCTCACCCCCATGTCGCCATGTGGTGACAGAGCCTGTCACCGGTGCCCTCCACTGACAGGCTCTAGCCTTACTAGCGACTAGAAAGGACACTGATTTGGCTTTTGGGGTTCTTCATTTTACCTCGGGAGGATGCTCACCCCATGGTAAGCCTTTCTCATGGGCTGGGCAGGCTCACAGGGAGCACAGTAAGTAGAATGCACTGGCCTAGGAGGGACTGTGTGGTCCTCTGAGGCAACTTTCAGAGAATTCCACCTTACCCTGCTTCAGGTAGTGGTTCAGTCTCAAGTAGGAGCCTCGATTCTCAGTTCTCTTAGATGCTCACTCCCAACTTTCAGTCTGCCATGAGATTTGCTAACAGTTATTCCTCTTTGCCCAGGAATCCACCTACTCAGTGCTTAAGATTTACATTAAGTGTCAACTCTTTCTGAAGTCTTGATACTATCCTTCACTGAAAACCATCTCTCCTCTGAAGTAATATATGTCTTTTCTTTCAAACAAATGTACTGTGCCTCCCTTCTATTCTGACCCCACGTTAGAATTAAACAATTTTAGGTTATTACGTCTTCCTGAAACAAAGACTTTCCAACCTCCTTGCACTCCCTAGTGACACAAATACTACGTTCCTGGCTGTTACTGCTTCCTGGAATAAAAGTGAGACTTTTTTCAATTTCCTGGTAATATGAATTAGCCAACCGGAAAAGGACAAGATTGTGCGCTCAAAACCCTAACCATTAGGGTGAGACACAGCCTTAGACCAGAGTCAGGGATAAAAAGCCTGTCGTTTCACCCGGCCTGTGTGCTTGCTGGTTTGTTCCTGTTGTGCCACTACGCACCCTTCTGCAGAAGTAAAATTTTGCCTTGCTGAGATACTTTTGGTTTCACCGAGTGTCTGTTTGCAACATCAGGACTTATTTCCAACACCTCCCACCCACCCACTGTGAACTCACATAGCACTTAAGCATGTTGTTGTTGTTGTTAAGTGCCCTCGAGTGGTTCCAACCCATAGTGACCCAAGGAGCAGCTGGTGAAGTTTGAATTGTCCACCTTGCAGTTCAAACTGACCTTGCAAATGAATGCTTAACCTACAGTGCCCCACCAGGACACTTAAAGCAGGCTCTGCAATAATTCAGCACTGATTTGTACATATACACAAACAGTTCAGGTATAATCATAAAACATACCAAGTTTGAGAGCTATCTTCCTAACTGGTCACATGGTATCTGTACGAGGTTTTGATTTGACAAACTCAGCGAAGGAGACTCCCACACCACAGGTGTCTTTTCTGGGGTGGCTAAGAATGCACATTCTCAGACAGACATGGGCTAGGATCTGGTGCTACCTCTTTCTACTTATGTGACTTTGGGTAAGTTCTCTGAGCTCAGATTCTTCATCTTTAAAATAGGGATGAAAGTAACAGCACTTCCTCTTATAGTCTATGTGTTGATTCCAGGAGACAATGCTGTGTGAATCCTTATGGCAGTGCTGATGAGGGGCATATACTCATTGGCCGCGATTCTTGTTTGTCCTGAAATACACCCAAAGTACCAGTCTAGTGAACAGAGTTTAGCTCCACACAGTGCTGGGCACTTAATAGAAGCCCAATACATACGTGCTGAGTGGACAGTTATTCTTAGGAATTAATTCTCTTATTATTATTAAAGTGCCTAGACTACTGTCTGGGACAGAGGAGTGTTTTAACTAATGAGTGTGAAAGGGTAACAGACAAGCTTTACCCACTGCCCAGGTTCACAGTGTGGTGGGAGACTAGAGAGACAGGCTCAGGGATACCCACAGGGGTGTGAACTGCTGAGTAGAGGGATGGCTTCCACTGGGGAATGGAATGACAGAAAGGGGTCCAGATACAGCATCTCTCCTGGACAAAGAGTTCTGGCCCTGCCCTTCCCCTCCTTCCCTCTCTTAGCAGTTACAATGCTATGGAGCAGCTCTGGTATTCAAGTTATGCAGTCATGCTGGGACATTAGCCAATTTAGCCAAGCCTTTAGAGTACCTTCTGGGCTTGAGAAAGTGGGAGGGAAAGCTCTCTAATCACCCTAAAGTGCATATGATGCCCTCTCAGGGGCACATTATCATATAATTGTCAACAAGTACCCATCTCAACCGATTCCCCAAAGAAATATTTCCAGCCCTTTAAGGCTGTATTTATTCTTATGGGCAAGGAGAAAGGCAGGGCTGGCCATTCAACAGAAACACCACTTAACCACAGCGTGGAGTTTATTTTAGGATCTGGCTGGTGCCTGGCTTTGCTTCTGATGAGTTGCTGCATTCTCTGCAGCAAGAATTTTTATTTATAGCCAGAGTAAGACTGTTTGGGCTGAGGATTTTATAACAGGAGGGGCTGCCTGTTGGGGGATCTGCAAATTTCTGCAGAAGATCTAGGAGTGCAGAGCAAGTTCCTGAGAAAGAGCTCAGTGGGGGCTCAGATGGGGGTCTGGGGAATAGGCCCAGACCTTAATGTCAGCCCTGAATGTCATGCAGGCAGTCCAAAATTCATCTGTTAAGTTCCTTCTTACAATGATGAAGAGACTGAAGCTGGGAGAGTAATTCATGCGCCTAGGTGTGGCACTGTAGGATCAGCACTGGGCTGTGAACCATAAGGTCGGCAGTTCAAGTCCACCACTGCTCCTTAGAAACCCTATGCAGGGTTGCTGTGAGTCTGAACTGACTGGGCAGCACTTAACAACAACATTAAGAGGTCGTGCATGTTTTCTGAAGAAATGAGCATTCTGGGAATGTAATGGCCCCACAGCTCTTCAGGACACTACCCTCCTCACTTGGACATCTCTTTAGCTGAACATTTGTGCTCTGAGCATCATAAGATGCTTGGCATACAACCCCAGGACTCAGAGAACATAGCATTAACCAGGGGCTCCAGGGGCAGGCAAGGAAAACCTCACCTTGCCAGAAAGGCATGAACCAGCGGCTGGTTCTTTTGAAAGTACACCCTTGAAAGAACTACTAAGAGCTTCTTGGTTGGCCATGATGGCCTTATTAAGTTAGCATGTGACGATTCATCAAAAAAATAAGTCACCAGAAGCTGGCCAGGCACCACCAATTTTCCAGAACACTTTCTCTACACTATAGACAGGGAATAGAAAATGACTAGGGATGGGCCCTGGATTGTGTTGGACAGCAGATTTTTAAAACAAAAAAAATTTGAATTCATCAATATAACAGACATTTCATGAACTATTTGGGGCTGGGGATAAGGGGTAGGTGGGGCTGGGGAGGGGGGGAGGCGGGTACCAGAGAAAGCAGTCTGACTGCCAGCAACGGAGAGCTGGAGCCACAGGCTAAAGGATCTTGACCCAAACAGCTACTTCATAGTGGCTTAAGCTCCAAACCTTGGAGAACTGTCCATTC